CTTTTATATTGCTACATACATAATCACTATCTACATAGGGCCCATGTCCCATGTGTACATAGGGCTATAAGACTATAATAAATCACTACATCCAGTATGTTAAACGAGTATAAGGCGCACAAGTCATTATGAGTAGGTCTTCATTAAAAGCAGTCTTTGATCCAAGTGAAGTCTCCGGAATGTGACAAATGGTGTTCATCTTCTCTGCCTTTGTATAGTATGTTCAGGGATTTAATGGCTAAATTTGCAATGTACATGTATGATGTCAATTTTCTACATGCCATTTACAAACTCATGTAGAAAGAAGTGCTAAAATCTAAAATCAAATTACCTACATACTAAAATCAAATTCTAAAGACAATATTTCTGTCATTTTTTGTGATACTGCAGAATAAATCAATGAATTCATTATGGTTTAGTTTATTAAACTATTTGGAAACTCTTGGTAGGTATGGAAAATGCAATGTGGAGTAGATTACTGGAAAGTAAATTGCCAAAACAGTTGAACTTGCTTTGAGCTCTATTTAACAGAAGACAGATATCTTGGATTTTTCTATGACAACAAAGAGACAAAAGTTTACATAAGTTAAGTTTACTGCATTGCTGTAGGCACATAATTGTGATATCTAAATTTAAAACATATCTAATAAACCGTTTTTGAATTCTGTCTTATGTTATTACTGTCAACATTATAGCAGGGATTCTAAATTCTATTATTGCTAAATATGAATTGTAACTATTTTATACAGGTTTCAAGAACTTTTTGCATATCAACTTTCTCCAGGTACATTATGCATAGATAAGAATGCCAAAGAATCTGTATTCTGAATATTCTTATTTATACTACTAGGACAAATCAAGTCCATATATACATTTTTATTTCCTAAATTACCTAATAAACTAAATCACAATCATCTATAAAAACTTTCTTTCCTTCCCTTCTCTATCCCTTGTTTCTTATGTTGGGTATTTTCTTTATCAGTTATATGATTGACTGCACGTATGGCGTAGTGGTTTAAGCAGGCGCAACGCCGCTTATTACTACGCTGAGTGTTGTGGGTCCGATCCCCACATGGGACGACTTTGTGTCCGTTTCATGTATGTTTTTTAATTCCCCCACTACACGGATATATTCCTAATACGGGCGTTCTTTAAAAAAAAAAGAACAGAATGATTTGCCCACCTAGTTTTCTAGGTTTCTGTTTGTATCTTATTATACATTTCTTTTTGGCCCTGACCATTTTTTCAGATATTACTGGCCACTTTAGGCCAGAGATTGCTAAAGTAGCCGATATCGACACCTTAGGGTCGAATTCGGTTTCCCAGGGGTCGACATAAATAAAAACTGATTTTGGAAGTCGATGAGGTCTAAAAATCGACACATATTTATTTACACAAGTTCTTATTTGAACTTTCAAGATACCGTATTAGTTGTGGTACATGTATCAACTTGTTATAAGAATTACTATCACGAACAGGAATCATCATTGTTGTACTTTTAAGAAACTCAACAAGTCAATAAGCATGTAGTAATTTGGCTATGAGGGTCTGAAGTATCAGTTCATTTTACATCATCAATTGTAATTGACACTCCACCACTGTGAGAACAAATTTTCACCTGCATTATTGCTGTACCATTACATTATTGCTGTACCTTTAAGGAAAATGTGTTCCCACCAACCTTTTAGATTCAGGTATCCATTGCTGGTGATAGTTATCAATCATTGGATGGTCTGTTTCCTTGTTTGCCCCTAAACATACATAAAAAATAATTTCAATCACAAAGCTACTAAAAGATAAATAAACTGCTTGTCAGTTTTATCTTCCTGTAAGCCCATAATCCTCCAAAAATGATTATTCTAAAATTGTCTTAGATAAGGCATTTACACAAACACTTAAACAGTATTTCTTATGTGATTAATAACCCTTGAGAGATCTAAAGCATAATCCTTCTCGGATATGGCTTGTTTGACTTTTGAAAGCTACTATTGCAGTTTATTAATTAATATTAGACATTTAGTTTAATAAATAGAATGAAATATTTAATAAATAAAATCTACTACTTTAATTGTGTGTTGTTACACCAAATGTATGCATATACAAACGTAAATAAAGTGTTTAAAGTACGGGCCGAGTGTTTAAAGTGTTTAAAGTGAGCCGGGAAATATATTACTAATATTACTTTATTTCGATACAATCACACATCGGCATGTCGTGTCCTGCCGTTTCATTCTACAGATTATCATGCCATCGTGTCCCGCGAGCCACAAAGGTCACAGGATTATGACCCCCCCCCCCCTCACTCCCTCTGAATTCAAACACCCCACCCAGAATCTAGAGCGGGGCCATTGGGCCCTTTTAACCTCTACTCATTCGATGAAAAACAACAACAGGATAGCTTAACACCGGTTTTCTGTGAGGCTGTGGTAACACTCTATACATGCTATTAGGAAGCTACAAGCTACTAGGTACGTACGAAGCACGTAGGTACGAAGCTTATAAACGTTTGATTTTATTTTTGTACACCGATCAATAGATGTTACTATAATACTCGTAGTACATAATAATAATATATTATGTTTCGTTTTCATTCCGAATTCTGTTATTTCCGCATCCTGAAAATGCCGCCCGTGTGTGGTGCACGCGCTGCACACCCGAACCCGGCGGCCCTGGCTGTGAGGTAAATAGTTTCGTGGGATGGCCATGCTTAGGCGCTATTAGGTGTAGGCGGAAACGTGTTTGTGACTCGTAGAGTTGCAGATGTCCATGGGCGGCGTTAGTCACTTACCATCAGGAGATCCGGCTGCTCCTTTGCCCCCCCCCCTCAATACCTTAAAAATAAAAAAAAGTGGTACGTTGATTCCGTAAGGCATTGATATTATGTCTAAATACTGTAAAAGCCTTAAAAAAATAGAGTCCAACGGTTGGCTACTAGATATTGAAATTGTTGCTACTTTTAAATCTTATTTATTAGGTATATGAAATGATTACTTTTACTCACAGCGACTTCAAATGTGATTGTGATGTGGACATAGACAAAGATAAATCCCATTAAAATCAATCTAAATTCTTTATATCAAAGATTACGACATTTTTCGCCGTGGTTTTGTAAATTAGTCACAGGTGTGTGTATACGATATACAAATCATATGATTTATCACAGGTGATTATGATTTTATTGCATCCATATTGGCTACTAAAGCCTCATACATACGTAACGATTTATCGTAACGATTTCAGACTGTGCAGATAAATCGAACGGTCCTAGTGCCTCCACACGCCTCCGATATCGACGTCGATCGGGCAGTTCTCAGCAGAAGCTCGCGCAAGATACATGTTAACAATGGAAGATTATGACGCACTTGCTATATTAGGCCTGGTTATGTGTTTAAAGAAAAAAAAGAAGCGGAGTCTATGGTGTAAAGACTGGCTCATGAAAAGGAAGCAATTTTATCATACCAACTTGTTATGCGAGTTGAAATTCGCTCCGCAAGATTGGCATAACTATTTAAGGATGAATGAAGAGGCATATTTAAATCTGCTCGCTTTAGTGATCTGCACGTGCGCACACTAGCAAGCTCCGTGAAGTACTGCCGAACTGAGCGATCGCCGTCCACACGCAACGATAAAACTGTGCAAATATAATCGACAACGATTTATCTGATAGAAATTGAAACTGCCACCGACGAACGATTATCGACAACGATTTTTCATACACACGATCGATAAAACTGCGCAAACTGGTCTGCACAGATTTATCGTTACGATAAATCGTTACGTATGTATGAGGCTTAAGTTCCTTTCCACTATCGATATCGCTGTGTACTCGCCATGACGTTTATCAAGTGTATAAAACGAACCTATCACGCACACTAGCATAATAAAGTTACCCTATTTGTTTTAGTTATTTTGTTGTGTGACAATCCATTTAGACATATGATCTAGGGTTGAAATATCGGTCGGTCTGTTTACTTAAAAAAATACATGTGTAATTGATTGTGGCAGTATAAAATGCTGTCAGTTAATCAATTGGGTAACAATTTATGACAAAGTTATCGCATATATAGATTTAATAAATCAACCTATTTAGTAGAATGAGTGATACAAAAAATATATATCATTCACGCCTATAAAATGTATCACTCACTCACACTAGCTCCGAATATATCAGTAACTCAGTACTAGCTCACTAGATCACTAGCTCAACGACGCCGATTTTTGTTTCATGAGCGAGTGAGACTAAAGATAAATGAGTGAGATAGATGATGGTTGAGTTCACGCTAAGTTTTGTTTATGCAAAATGTACATTACTTTTATAGGATCCAAGTTTAACATTACTTAATTATTATAATTAAAATAATTATGTAGCTGTACTATCGTATGAGGTTGAGAAACTATGAAGATAGTGCAGTCTGTAAAAAAAAAAAATTGTTCTCACAACTTTTTACAACTGCAATGCGAGATTGCATTTTTTTTCAAGTTTAATAGAATTTCAACATTTATGGGTCTAATTAATTACTTATTACTTACATTTCATATAATTTAGAATAGAAACAATTATAGTATTTAAACAGTTTTCGTTAGTATACATCACATGACTATAAAAATAATATAATGCAAATTAATTTAACAACCATGTACATAATCGTGATTTATGCGTCTATCTTGCCATACGATACGATATAGCTGTAAAAAAAAGCAATAATCAGTAGTATCGATCGAGCCGTCATGGCAACATCACCGCGGTCTAACATGGTAGATTTGTAATGTTCCCAAACGCTTGCAACACTGCCATTGTGACGTCATATGAAATAGGCTGACGATACTTTTTAGACTTCGTAATAAAATGATTTTCAGTGGACTTTTGTAGTGTTTCTACGGTCTGTCGTGTTTTTGAACAATAAGAAACGATAAATTAACAAAGTGTTGTGTTAACTATTCACTCGGTGCGATGGGCTATCTATAATTTTAGTGACAACGAGTGATGAAGGAAAAAGAAAATGGCTACCTTCGAACGCATGTTGTTAGCTCGGAAACATATAGTTATAGCTGAAAGATACAATGTTGTCCGCAAACTTGGTGGTGGCAGCTTTGGAGATATCTTTTTAGGAATAAACGTCAACGATGGAGAGGTAATAATATAAAACCAAATACTAAGCGCAAGCTACAATTTCTTGTCAAGACGGTCGTGTATTTCGGGGTTTTTGTTCTTGAAAATGGCGGTCAGGGCGTATTTGAATGATACAGGGAACAATATTGACTTCATATTACCTTTTAGCCACAAGCTGTTTGATTTCTCATGTTTCACAATCTACAATAATATAACATAGTTGAAAAAGTGGTAGTGAAACATAGTCGATAGTTTAACTCCTGTATTGAAATGTCTCGTAGTATTTTCTCTGCTTTTTCATGTCTCCAGTCACACAGCTGTTATGTTTTGTAATATTTCATTGTGACAACGGATTTTGCGACGCTTTCGAAATCACCTGAACGGTATCATGTCCATGTTGTTTTTTCAAGTTCTTCATTTTTATTTCGTTTGCATTTTTATTTCAATTGTAGCATTGTTTAAATATTCAATTTCTTATATCCTATGCATTGCTTTGTTTAAATATTCTATGCATCCTTAAACAGATCATTGGCTCCTATGACTCACACTATCCTTTAAAACATATTGTTCTCATTTGAATTTGATGTAAATTATTGATTACTCATTGATATTCATATTTCTGTGTGGTGATGGACTAAGACTATAGAGTGTCACCACCCCTGTTCCTCCCGTGGGTGTCAAAAGAGCTGACTAAGGGAGCAAACTGTGCAGGACACACAGAACAACACTGCAAAGTAAAGGAAAATTTAACACAAATACTCTACCAACCGCGGTGTAGTAGGCCGAAACCTCCCTTCTAAGGAGAGGCCTATGTCCAGTGCTAGACTATTAAAGGCTGTTGATGATTGGTTGTTGAATTGACTCATAGCCGATTGATATGATTTAAGCTTTTGGAGTATAAATTTCTATGAAATAATTGATTGTTATTACTTTGATTATATCTATGTAAGTATTGTGTATAATTAGAAACATTTTTTTTGCATGGTTGTAAGTATTGCACAATAAATAAATGTGATATTACTAATTGGACTTTTAGGCTTATCAGAACCTTTGTGTTATTGTTTTATTTTATTCATAGGTTCTCAAACTTCTTTAATCTTAGATAAAATATGGTATCTGGTTCCTAATGACTAATCTATTAAATTTAAAGTGAATTTTGTGTGCTAATGAATGTGAAATTAGCAATACTTAAAGTTTATACATCAACATATACAACAAAGTTAAGAAAGCCAAAATAAAAAAGTTTGTAAAAGTTCATTATTTAAAATAATTACAACAGTTTTTGGGTTATGATATACTATGCAGAACAATAAATAGCACTGCAAGGAGAAGGAAAATTTGACACAAACTCCTGTTTGGCCAGTGTGGTATAGCAGGCCATAACTTTTTTAAAGAGAGGCCTATGTCCAGCAGTGGATAATTAAAGCCTGTTGATGATAATAAATAACTATTGTACTGATCAATAACAACTTCTGAACAAAATGATATATTTTAATGTAATGATATACCTAGATCTATCTGTATAATTATAATACAACCATTATCAAAATAAGTTCAAAGTTATAAATTATGGGCAACCAGGTTTGTCCAGTTTAGGAAGCAAACCCACTAGCTCAGGCCTAGTAGTCAGAATCGCTAACAACCAGACTGTCCACTTGAATTAATATTACATTATTTAGTACAAAGGGTATTTGAGTGCTGAGTTTATTTGAACAAAACTGTATGTTAAAGATACCCATATCAAAACATTGCATTATCTATAGTTAATATCTTATCTAATTATTAATCTTAATGGTTAATTAATTTTATGTCAGTGAATATTCCGTCTAAAATTAAATATTGCATTTTCATAAAGTATTGATTATTAAGAAAAACTTGACACAAACCCTATACAAACCCTTGTGGGTGGCGTGGTATAGTAGACCAAAACCTCCTTTGTAAGGAGAGGCCTATGTCCAGCAGTAAAGACTGTTGATGATGATGATGATTGATTATTATTGAAACAGTACATTGTCATAATCTAGTTCCAAAGTTATCGAACATCAGTTTAAGCAATTTTGCATTTGCTTCTTTGTTGTCCCCTTTTATTTAACTCCATTGATTATAGCAGTGTTCAACTTAAGAACATATTAGTGATGTGTCATTAAAACACCATACAACTGAAAAGCACTGCCAACATATCAACATAACACAAATATAGACCATATTTTTTTCTGATTTTATATATTATGAGTAATCCTATGTTAATTATATGTATTTGAATTTGTAAGTAAAACAGTAGGAACAATAAAATAATTTGAGTATTTCAAAATACTCAGATGGATTTTTATGCATTCATATGCTTCACTCATTCTATAACATTTAAATATTAACTTTATAGGTGTGTTTAATGTTTCAAATGTTTTATAGTTTGTAATGCTCTTTTATGTAGTTTAAAATTCACAAATAATACTTCCATATTTGTCTTGTACAGAAATGTTAAAATACCTACTAGCTGGCTCAACTGGCTAGACAAATTAAGCCATCTTTATTCTATAACATTCCTAGATAAACAGAAGACCTAGTGTGAGTTTATTTCACATCAACTCGCTCTCGACCGGCAGCCAGTTCGGCGTTGTTATTGGTGAAGATTTTAGTGCGGGCCAATAGCAACGCCGAAAGCGGTCACCGTGACATCTAGTTGATGTAAAATTAATTCACACTAGGCCTCTGAAACGCATAAATGAGTATAGATCATCATCATCGCCAAAACGACCCTGTCTACCCTTTCCAAGATACAATACGTACGTGATACGTCATCAATTCTGTAATAATATTTTAATTGTACAATTTTATTACAATTCAATCATTTAAATTGTAATTTTAATGTATGTATGACAATTTATAATTATCATTAACACACAACTTTGTCACTAGAGTAAGTTAATTTATTACTCTACGTTTTAATTAGTTATACCGTTTATAATTAACGGTATTTACCCCTAAATACTATAACTAAATACTTAACTGGCATATTAGTGCTTTAGGTTGCTAGTAGACCTTAAAAAAAAATTTTAGTAGTCCCCCACTGCTGGACATAGTCCTCTCCTTAGAAATGAGGTTTTGGCTGCGCTGGCCAGACAGGTTGGTATAGGGTTTGTGTCAAGTTTTTCTTCTTATTACGGTGCTGTTGTCCTGCGTAATTTGCTCCTTACGAGACCTACGGGATGAATAGGGGTGGTGACACTCCGTATTTTTAAATGCGTGACCCACACTTTTTTTTTAACTGTTACAATAGTAATAACAATGCACCTGTACATTTAAACTCATAAGTTCCTATGCAAATCGCACATCCAACGTTGGATAAATTGTTGATTGTTGTTGTTGTTGATGGCGGCGATAGTCACTTAACATCAACGTGACCCGTCTGCTGGTTTGCTATTCCATAAATAAACCATTTTGGGATACCCCATAAGTAAAAAAGTAATCAAAAACTAAGATCGTGCATAAATGATATTTTTTGATATTTTCGTACAATGTTTTTACTGTAGCGTTACTCTATTACTAATATTTATTTATTTTCAATCAGCTTAACACAAAAATTATCAATTTTTAGTGTGCTACAAAAAATTCATGTGCATGCTTATCATGTCATGAAAGTGAAGTGGTATATTGGGACTAAAAAGTACATTTTTTTAACAAATTGACTGATTACCACCATATACTGCATATCTGTACTAATTAGTTTTTCAATGGTACAAAAATGTTCAATATTCTTTGCCGAAATGCTTTCTATCTTATGGAAGTAGGTGATTACCTACTATTAGAGCTCCCATGAGTTGTCATTGCTAAAGTGAGTTACATCTTTTCAAAAGCATTTGTAACTTGGGAGAGTCATGCTTTATTACAAATGGGCCAGCTCGACCGAAGCTATACCACGGCCTCACGGAAAACCGATGTTATGCACCGTCGTTTTTCACCGAGTGAGTGGTTACCTGAGCTCAAACCTCTCCTCCCTGGTTCCTGAAGTGGGCACTCAAGGAGCGGCTACGTGACTCTTGAGCTACAGGGGTCCCATGGGCGGCGGTAGTTACTTACCATCAGGTGATCCGTGTGTTGTTGGGCTAACAACACACGGTACATCGTATACCATAAAAAAAACCACAAAATATTTGTGTTGAGCGGGTATCGAATTTTCGATTTCTAACATGTCAGTTACTTAATTCAATGATTTAAAATGCTAATGGAGTTAAATTCAAGAGCGAATCAGCATCACCAATAACCTTTAATAGTCTACTGTTGGACAGGCATTTAATTAGAAACGAGGTTTAAATCAAATGCACTACCGCCGATATTCTATTTGGCTTCAGACCCTAATTTATTTATACTAATGCATAAAACATCGAGAAGAATATTTCTTTAATAAGTAGTAATATTAGTTTCTATTCATAACTTACGAATGCTTTGGACCTACATTGTTTGTTTTGATTTTTTGATAAATGAGACACTCAATAAGTTTTTTTTAAAAACTACTTTTCAAATCTCACTAAACGGATTGTGACATAAATTGTGGCATTCAAATAGAGTGCAATTTCATAAATATTGACAAGAATTTAAGTGATTCGGGTTTTTAAATAATTTCTATAGATACTGATAGTACGCGGATACTAGTTATGTATTAAGTATTTAATTAAAGTATTGAATTGGGGCCGTTTACATATTTAATTATTCAGGTCAAAGCATTAATTTTGTCTAATACATTATTTTGGAAATATTCAGCCCAGTGTATTTTCACAGGCTTTTTATTGTCGGTCTAACTTCAGAATTAATTTAAATATGCCCAGGTCCCACAAAAATACCATATCCTCTCACTTGTTTTTAGGAAAGAAAGAAAGAGAAAGAAGATAACCTAATACTGTCCTCCAATAGGCGCGCTCTACGTCTTAAACGGAACTGGGCAGGCTACATAGCAAGGTATTAAGGAAACAGGTGGGCATTGATCCACGAAGTCCGGTTAAAGACACAAAGGCTGACCTAGAAGTGGCCTGGCGATGTTATTGATATCGTTTGTAATAACTGGAACGAAAAGTGCCCAAGATAAGAAAAACTAGCAAAGCCTTTAACAATTTATCAAAATAAGTAATATAGAATGTTTGTGCTGTAGATGATTTTTTTGAGTCAGTTGGTTTAGTGGTTAGTGATCTTGACTGCTAAGCTAGAGGTCATGGGTTCGATTTCAACCAAGGACAAATGATTGTGTGATAAACATGTTCATTTGTTCGGTGTTTGGGTTTAATTTATCTAAAATATGCAAGTATTTAAAATATAAGTATGTTTATTAGCAGTCTTTAACAGGACTTACTTTGCGTAATAGGAACACTCAAGGGCACATGTCCACAAGTAGTTTTTCTCCAAATGCCCGGTGTCAGTGATGCGTAACGTCAGCTCGAGAACAAAATGCTTATTCGTGTACTTCGTAGCAACAAAGTGCATTGTCGTGCTCGTCGCCATAATTGTTTCCGTCTCCTTTCTTCTTATTTTATGCTTTAAAGTGAGAGAACGTAATCTATTCTTTTCCCGTTTTTGTTAAAATATCATAATTTATTCACACAGTATATTATTAAATACTGAATTTCGAACTTGTAACGGTAAAAAATATTAATGAAAATCTGGGTTTTGTATAAAACAGTACAATTAGATGACTGAGACACTTCCTGTTTTATCCCAAAATTGGAAAGTAACAACACAACCCAACTAAACGTTTATAACCGGTTTAAAGCCTGAATAAAGTTCTTAGTAGTAGGGCTTATGAATCACCAGCTACCGGTCGCCATATAAGTATTAGTGTGTGCGTGTTTTGATGCGTACATTATCAGAAGTAACGGGTTTTATAGGGCAAGATAACGAGTAGAATTGTTAAACAGTTTGTCGTTGTGATACGTATTGATCAGAAACACACACGCACAACATTCAAAATAAACAGACGTCGTTTTGTTAGCATTGTGTACTCTTTGTGACCACTGACAATCAGATGCGCCGTGTGTTCATTTCTTTTGTAATCATAATAACTTAAAACTCACGGTCTATGATATATCATTATCATCATCAACAACCTTTAGTAGTCCACTGCTGGACATGGGCCTTTCCTTAGAACGGAGGTTTTGACCTAATATACCACGCTGGAAAGACTGGTTGGTACAGGGCTTGTGTCAAGTATCTTCTATTTGCAGTGCTGTTAGTTGTCCTGCGTAATTTGTTCCCTTTGTCGAGTCTTACGACACCCACGTTATGAATATGATTAGGGGTGGTGATACTCCGTATTCTTAATCCGTCACCACACCGACGGTTTATGATATAATAATATAATATAATATTCTACCACATTCACACAACGCCATCTAGTCCCAAACTAAGCAGAGCTTGTACTATGGGTACTAGACAACTGATATAAATACATATATACTTTTTTTTAAATATATAATTAAATTATATTAATGATTTTGTTCATGCGTAACGACTCTATCGTAGCCGACATAGGTAACAGCTTGGTTTTTCTCCTTTTTGTTATCGTCATCCACAATTATTTGTTCACAATCCCTAGCTTTAAAAACTTTGGTATTAAAGATCGGTAGGATTACTAATTTTATCAATCAAAAATACTAAATAAATTAATCTCAAATAGGTAGGTCCACTGTTCAACACTTTAAATGTGTATGCACAAGAATACAGGCTTGAAATTGTGATACTCAAATTTTGTATACCTGTATTTTGTATTTTGTGTACCTCCTTTCTAAGGAGAGGCCTATGTCCAGCAGTGGACTAGTATAGGCTGTTGATGATGATGATGATGAAATTTTGTATAGTAACAGTTTTCGATCAATAAATTTATAAGAACTTCTGTAACCGGTTTTTTGGTCGACATCGATTATTCAACTCGTAAGCCGTTATATGTTTATGTTTGTATTTTGTCAATTACAGCGTCGCCATTACTTATTTCCGGTGTCCTTTAGACTCCATTCGACTTCGAACTTCGAACTGACGAACAGTTATTTTGACGAAGTTATCTATGTGTGGAAGAAGTCTATTTATAGAGTAAAGAGATTGCATATGTAATAACATTTTCAAATGCATTGGATAACATTTTATTTATTATATTTTTCATACTCTTTCTATTAGTGTTTTTTTCGGTAGTTGCTTGAAAATATTAAATTAAATTTTATTTTTTTATCGATGAGAACTTCCTTTTAAATAAAACTGAAACTGAGAAAAAATATTATTTTCTGTATGTTAAGTCGACATAATGTTTAGGTGAGAATGGTGGCAGCTGTACCATATTGCCTCAAGTATTGTGGTATACATGTTTCTGCAAGAGACTGTACTTTTTAGATAACTCTTAGTTCAGATGAATAATCGAATAATTGAATTTTAACACAGAGATGGCTATCAGTAGTGTACAAGGGATTTCTTTCCTAGGGCAAACCTGGAGACGGCATACGGTATTTGTCGGTTCGAGTCCGACAAAACCACCCACAGGTGGGTGGTATCCGAAGGGATTTCAGCACAGAAAAAAGGGCAATCAGTAGTCTGGACAAATACAATGCCAGTGATTTATATGACGCAATACATTGTTATCTAATCCGCTTAAGGTACCGAAACTGAGTCCTAAACTAGACTTAGCCTGTTTTGGGGACAGTGTTCGTAATAGTTTTAAGTTGCTTCATAATGATAACTTATCGTAACTTAAGACACCTCGCGAACGGCCGTCTGTACCCAAACATGGCAAAGTTTGTGTAAAGACAGTGTTCTAAACAAAAATTGGCTGTCCTGTTCTACTGGTTATTAAGTAACCCTGAATACTAAGCCTGAGGTCGTGGGTTCGACTCCCACCCAGGGCCAATAATTGTGTGATGACCACGAGCATTGCTTCTATGTCTAGGTGTAATTTCTTAATAATATGTATGTATTTACAAATATAAAAGTATGTTTATCAGCAGTCAGGTTACCATAGCACAGGTTCTGCTTAGTTTGGGAGCACACTGCCGCGTGGTACAGCAAAATTAGGTACAGCGAAAAACACAACAAAAAAGATCATCACAAAAATATGTCCTGGGTGGAAATCGAATCGTTATTTTTTGTGCATTAAACAATACTCGTGGAATCGAAAGACATATTTTCTTACAGAATCAGCATTAACTTCTTAAAGCAATCTGTATACAAATATAAATATTTAGGTCTCTATTATTAACTCATATAGTGTTAAAACAGCCTAAAACTGGGCGGTTGTATATCATATACATGATAAAATGATAACCCCTTGTTCTAAACTCGACCGCGAAGGCCGGCTCGACCGGAGTGATACCCACGGCCTTACAGAAAACCGATACCGGAGCCTGAATCACCCCATTTTCTTTTTTTCTGTGCGGAACTCCTATCGGAAATCACCCACCAGTGGGGTGGTTATGTCGGACTGACTGACTAAAAACCGCACGCCGTCTCCAGGTATCAATAACCGGGGAAGCATGTAAAACCTAGATAGGAAAGCCCTGGTACTCCGACGTACCTCGGGCCATCACCGGCTTATAGACTCCTCCTGCCCATGATTTAGGAGGGTTGAGACTCAAAGAGTGACAACGCACTTGTAACTTTTGAGTTGCAAGTGTCCATGAGCGGCGGTAGTCACTTACCATCAGGTGACCTGTCTGCTCGTTTCCCCTATACTAAAAGAAAACTGGTATCGAAATTTAAGATGAGTGAACTGTTGTGGGCGACTTCACAGTCGTCATAAAATACTAAAAGACAATTTCGTTGTTTGTAGGAGGTAGCAGTGAAGATTGAATCTATAAAGGCGCGGCACCCGCAGCTACTCTATGAAAGCCGAGTATATAAGATGCTCCAAGGGGGCATCGGCATTCCACATATAAGGTAAGATTAATAAATATATTGTTTACTGTACCTAAACGTACCATAGAACAGTAAGTTCTCTATATGCAATGGCAGTGAATTTAACGTATATGTGGAACGCACTTGATGTGTTGGTGGGACTCACACTAGACACAAACCGTGTTGTGCAGAAACGATTCGATCGGCAAATCGATTAATCATGTAAACTGAAAATGGATTTTTATACGAACGAACGACGAATACGCAAGACAACAGCACTGTAAAGAGAAGGAAAACTTGAAACAAACCAAACCAAACCAACCCGTCTGGCCAGCGTGGTACAGTAGGCCAAAACCTTTCTAAGGAAAGACCTATGTCCAGTGGACTATTAAAGGATGATGAGATGTTATGTGAACGATTATAAAAATATAGATCTCTTCTGATAGTATATAAATACAGATCACTTTAACGAGTCTGTTGATCTAGTGGTCAGTTATCTTGACTGCTAAGTCATGTCGTGGGTTCGATTCCCAGTCAGGACAAATATTGTAAAATGAGCACGATCGTTCTGTGTATGCGTGGTATAGTCGGTCAAAACCTTTCTAAGGTGAGGCTTATGTCCAGCAGTGGACTATTAAAGGCTGTCGATGATGATGATAGGTATAATTTATTCAAACCTGCGTAGTTGGGAATCAGACGGCCGTTTGTGAGATGTGTGAATTTATTATTGTTACATCTGATAGTTGACCACTTCGTCTATTGCATCATTTCTGTACAAAAGACCACTTATTTCACACGCCTTGGACGCCTCGAATCCAGTGTCTATTCATGTAAGATAAAGTTAGTATAGTCAAAAAGTAGATTTAATTGGTTGGGTTGTCTTATAGGGGTTTCTTTTTAGTATCTCATCAACAGACTATACTAGTCCACTGCTGGACATAGGCCTCTCCTTAGAAAGGAGGTTTTGGCCTACTATACCACGCTGGCCAGACGGGTTGGTATAGGGTTTGTTTCAAGTTTTCCTTCTCTTTTTTTTTCTTTCTTTTTTAGGAATAAGAAGTAAACACTATAAATAGTAAAATAAAATCAAAGGCTTAAAACACAAGCCATGGCAAAAAATTATCGAGGAACTGCTTAAAATTAAGGTCAAAATTTGACTAACTATTAACGTCAATTCTTACCCTTGAAACCCGTCGAACTAGTAATCGTTTTATGCATGTTAAGTGAATTTGTTGGTGATTGAAATTTATTCGCTTTCGAGGTCCGCCGTTCCGCTTGGTGACATGTCACTAACATCACTATTCAACCCGTGGGTGTCGTAAAAGTCGACTAAGGGAGCAAACTACGCAGGACAACAACACTGCAAAGTGAAGGAAAACTTGACACAAACCCTATAGCAAGCGTGGGATAATAAGCCAAAACATCCTTTCTAATGCTCTCCTGGCTGGACTTCTGTGTATGTCCAGCCACTGGACTAAGGCTGTTGATGATTGATGACCACTTGGATCTCTGTTCCCCGTAGGTCATTGTGTAATCCATTTGCAAACTCTCACAGTTATGATGTTTGTGGGAAACTGTACTAATAATGTAGCCCTTTTGCGTTTCCAACCTCCATAGGTTGTTAGTCCTCAATCACGTATATTTAAACTACTAATCAGTTCGTTTTACACTACTAGACTTAACGGCAGTTCGATAAGTACTTCAGTAAAACGACTAAGCTACGGTTCTCTTCGTGAATTAATTTCTGTTAGTTTATAATGTTGCAATTCTTTGAAAACCTATAGTTGACTTAATGTTGTAAATGAAACTCCATTGTCATTCTTGAAGCTTGAAAAAAAATTAACGAAATTTAAACAAATTCACAGCAGAAATATGAAAAATATAAATATGTCACACCCACAATATGTACAAATTACTACTATTTTCTGTATTTGGTAGACGCTGAATTTGAAATAATAATGTCATTATAAACGAGATTTCACCATTAGGGATTTAAAATACAAATATAAGTTCCTCTTCCTCTCACAACATCCTTGGATTAATAAGACCTTCATGTTACTTAATAAGCAGCATGACCTTAATTCAATGTTAAATTGTTACAAGTTGTAACAGATTTCGATACACATAACTAGCTGTTGATGCTAAAACCTACAGGCACTGAAATCATAGAAAGCGAATTACGTAATTTGCAATTTTGTGTTACGTGTACGCTAGAGTTTATGTGAGCCTCCTCTGCGTAGCTCTGCATCATTTATAAAGATTTTTTTAATAGCTATTGTTTGTGATTTCGTACGTTATGCAGTGTTGAATATCGTTTGTCAAAACATGAAATGGTAATATGCGTTGGTAGAAAATTAGTAGAGTTAAATACATTTTTAGTATACCTATAACTGATGCTGCCTTTTTATTTGAGGACTAGCTGAGAGCCGCGGTGTTACCCGCGTTTGTTGTTATAACCGCGGGCAACGCCGCGGGGCGAAGCTAGTCTAAAAAAAGTAGCCTAAGTTACTCATTATGTCAGTGCCAGTGAAAGTCCCGTCGAAATCGGTCCAGCCGTTCCAGAGATTACCCGGAACAAACAGACAGACAGACAGACAAAAATTGAAAAAATGTTATTTTGGCAAATGTACCGTGTAAACATACATATGCATTTAGTAAAAAGCGGTTATTTTAATATTACAAACAGACACTCCAATTTTATTTATTTGTATAGATACAGTGATTAGGGGGTATTGAGCGAAACCAAATACATAGATAGGTAGCTAGAATCCTCGTTTTGCTAATATATACGTCAGTTTTTTTTTGTAATATTAGTATGTTTGATTTTATTAACTATGAGTGCGAGAAGCCGAAAATTGCAGTGGACTGCGATAGGCTGATGATGAAGACGGGATGTGTTCGCTTTTTACTTTGTTCGAAATTGTACTGAACTCTTTAGGATAACGCCGTTCTCCCATGGTGGTACCTGAAATTAGACGAACAATGTGAAAGTTAAAACTAATCCTTGTTAGTTGGGAACGCAACTGGTTTATACGTTACCATGACTAAAACTTTGATACATCCTGCATTGTAAAACTTCCTTATCGAAACGACCGGTTTGTAGTTTCTCACCGACACCATTCTATAAACAAGACGAAAACTTAGATTAAGGTTTCACCAATGATTTTACATAAAGTTAATTATGCAAAGTGTTTGGCGGAACATACTACTTATTATTTGTTATACCAATATACATTTGATTATACGTAATTAGTTGAACCATATCAAGAAATGATAATAGTAGAAGCTGTTTGGGTAGACAATTCATTGAAAAAAAAAACAAAAACCGTTTTATTACCTATTTACCGCGATAGGGAATTAGATTTCTTTTATTTCTGGTGTTCTCATTGGAATTTATACTCCATAATAGCACGAATGGAAATATATTTACACACAATTTAATACACAGAAATAAATGTCGTTTTAATACACACACACACAAATATACAGAACAAAGGCTTGGTAAAGCCTGGTCAGGCGGCTAATTTTCACAAAGGAGTTCTGCATCGAAGCGTTGATCACAAATCATAGTATAATTCAAGCTCTTCACCGCCAACTCTGTCTCAGCTCCTCACTGCCTATTGGGAATGAGAGAAGTATACGCACAGAAACAACTCGCCAAAGTCTGACTTTGCTGAGTGTAAAGTTGTCGCAGTATGTGGGGGTAACCGGTTATGAGTGTGTGTTTATGAGAGTTTTGTTCTAGTTTGCTAGCATCTCGCAACGCCATGGTAGTTATCAAATAATAAAATAAACGTTGAGAGTTAATAAACATGCGAAATGCTAAACAAATGCTACCTTGACACGGTTAAATTCTAATCTAGTACTAGTAACAAATAGTTATTGAGAAACAGTGGTTTAGTATAATTAGAAGCGGTCTTAGTTTCTCAGCGAGTGTAATAACTAAATTTTAGTGTCGGAGTTTGGGTGTTTTCTATGTATAACTAGCTGAGACCCGCGGTGTTACCCGCGTTTGTTGGTATAACCGCGAGCAACGCCGCAGGGCGAAGCTAGTCTAAAAAAAGTACTCCTTATGTCAGCAGCTATCTGCCAGTGAAAGTCCCGTCGAAATCGGTCCAGCCGTTCCAGAGATTACCCGGAACAAACAGACAGACAAAAATTGAAAAACATGTTATTTTGGCATATGTACCGTGTAAACATACATATGCATTTAGTAAAAAGCGGTTATTTAATATTACAAACAGACACTCCAATTTTATTTATTTGGATAGATATGTATGTATTTACAAAAAAGTATATAAGTATTCTATCAGTCAATCTAATTTTCATATTACAAGCTCTGCTAAGTTTGAAACTAAATGGCGTTGTGTCAGATATCCGAAATATTATTATTATTTGAAACAAAATATACGTGCGTGTATATCGCTATTATGTAACATAACGGAGAGCCCTTCAGGTAACTGGCTCGAAGTGTTAAGTAGGCAAGGAAAGGAGTTTGACTTCACTTTCCTCAGGAGACCTTGTATGTAGATGAAAATATATGAAACGCATATAATATTTATCCATATAACGTGAACTCAACATTATTATTATTATTTTATTTCAAGTAACCAAGATTCATAAATGTTAGTAAAAGACACTTAATCTATGATAGTAAAAGTGTACAAATTACATATATTTTGTGTTGTAGTAACTTCTAACGCTAAGTAAAGTACGTGTTAGAAGCTAACCCCTAAATTAAGATCCAACTTTGCCCATGCTTTGTAGGTGACGGAAATTGTGGCAAACCGACTGCCGATATCACAACCCACACAGCAATATTAAAAAAAAAGTTATTTCAATTTTTACGGATGAATTTATTAATACATATATAAACAGTCAGCTATTTATATTCAAAAAATTTGGCAGACCGGAATGACAATAAAATATCTTTAAAGTAACAAGAGGATTCTTGTTAAATATGTATCAAAATATTGTCTATGTTTTATAGCGACATTTCGTATGAAGTATTTAGAACAATGTCTTTTCTATTTAATGATTACTGATAATTAAATTTCAGTAATGATACTTTTGGGATTAATGACAAAGTAAATTTCAAATGCTCTTAGTCAGAAAAAAATATACCACTACAGGAAAAGCTACAAAATTCTGCTAATCTAATTATAGACGTATATCATTTCCTGAAAAAAGCCGGTATCCACTTACAAAATGAGTAATTGCTTAACGTATTATGCCATTAAATTAAGATGGACATTTAAAAGTACATGAGTCAGTCTTTGATGAAATAGTGACGTAGAAAATTGTTTATCGCGTAAACCACTACACATCCTCTTATGATTGTGACGTAGATGTTAGCGGAATGACGAAAGTCAACATTCGAAATGCTGATGTCAAATCATTTGTTAGTATTTGCATCTATTGTGATGCGAGAATCGAGATTTGTATCAGAATGCGGTTGCTACCTTTGACATTTCTAATTTATTAAAATAAACTATAATTTACGATAGGATACATTACAATAGATTTACAAATAGATAAATTACACAAATAAACCTCGTTTCTAAGGAGAGGCCTATGTCCAGCAGTGGACTATTATAGGCTGTTGATGATGATATTACACATTCCACAGGTTGGAACAACGATATAATTATATTATAATACGTCATTGGGTTGGAAATAAAGATTAAGCTCCTATATCCTTCCAAAACGAGATTGTGTTTTTCTTTTGTTTGATATGAAATCAATTCTTAATGATGGGGCCACGGTTACTGAAAAAACTAAAGCATTTAAAGCTAGTTCCGTATTGAGTTGTTTTATCACGATTGAGATTTGTGTTGACACAGTTTTAATGTAGTACACGTAAAAGTCCGTAGTTATGCAATGCGAACGCTGAAATGAATTTAGAGAGAATTGAAAGATCAGTATTGACGGGGTTTGCAACTAAGAAATTGTGATAACGTAATGCATGCATTGTACAGTTCTTCAACAGTTGTTGTATGTTAAGGACACATATACTCTTATACACACAGATCAGGTGACAGCTTATCTCCAACGTGTAATAAATTCATTGTCCTTTCACTACGTAAATTTTTTGAGTGCTTTTGTAAAAGGGCCATTTCCTGAGTGACTATACAAGGTATTTTTTTTATCTTAATTCCTGTTTACTACCCTTGACAGGTATGTCTCAACGTTTCGAAATGAGGCATAAAAAAAAACCGTAACAAAAGTGAACTATCACTGCTGTGTAGACCATCAACAATTGTTCGAGAGAAAAGTTTTTACGTCCATCTTAAGAGCTGTTACGCGTCGCTGCCTCGGTACCATGAAAGTGCGCACGTGAAATCACAGTTTGTTTTAAGACGAGTAGCAAATGAGTGCCTCGGTCACGTGTTTCAAAAGTAATTATTTTTCAAACTTCTTATTATTCTCCAAAGTTTTTGTTTTCGAAATGAAGTATTAAAAACCAAATTACTTTTTTTAATTTACTACCTACTTGTCATTATGATGACGACATTTTACCCAGTGGTTGTCACGTTTACTGGCATTTTTCAGAAGAAAATATTTTAATAATTCTGGCATAAATTATGGTTCTTCTAAAAGAACGTACACAAGTCCCTTCAAAAAGAAGTTGTTAACAAAGGGATATCTAAATCTAAATAGTGTAGATGAACTATGAATTTCTATAGGAAACAAAGTTTGTTTTGTTTGTCTGTTAATTAGTATTAAGAAATTATTCAGGGTGGCAGCACCTTGGATAATTTCTTGGAGGAGCCTGGTTGCTCGGTAGAAATATAAGTCATGAATTGTGTCATAATTATGTTAGTAGTTTACATAGACAGTTTTAAATTGAAAAATATTAAGGAACAAAAAAATATGTTATGTAATTAACTGTATCATAATTTAGCTTTAATATAATTGACATGAATAATTTTAGCTCGTAAAATACTTGATGATAATTTCTTAATTAGTGTAATATTCTAATACCGTATACGAATTATTTATGATTAAATAAATAAGCCATTCCCTGGATAATCACCCACGGTTATGTAGATTGTTTCGTTGCTCATAGTGGTATCGTGATGTTTAACAATAATGCCATAATAAGGTAGTTCGATAAAATATAAATCGAATACAAATTGCTTTTTCGGTATCCGATTTAAAGTTCCAAAGCCGAGCGCGTTCAAATAAATAACAAATAAAAACTGACTTAAGCTTTATTGTATTGTGTATTATTTACGCCGCTACGGTCTGCTTTCAGCAGTGTTCTTAAATCATCATTGCAAGCTTCATCAAATCATACTCTGATCTTGAAATTAAATTATAGCTCTATTGTACACGTTAAGAGTATTTTATTCGAATAACCTTGCATTTGCTCGGTGTTCACACACTCGTTCATATTAGAATCAGTTGAAAAAGTACACTAACGACTTTATAAGCTAAATTACAAGCTACTGCATAAATAATTTACCAACACGCGGACACAAATCTGGAGTAAGCCGAGAGATGCTAGAAAACATTTAGCACGATCCAGCGCATAAGTTTGCACTTCCGTATTAATGTTTTTAATCCGAAAAGTGTAGTATAATATAAATTTATAATAATTCAATATTAGAATTAATTGGTTATGCCCCGTTGAAGGCATAATATTGGAATTTATGGGTTATGCCCTGTTGAAGGCATTAAAAAATCTTCTTCCAATGTTTTATGCTCTTTTAACTTCTTCAATAGCTACAAAACAAAAAATAATGGTTGACAAACAGGGGAAGAAGGAAAAATGGTACTGAACTTTAGTTTCGGATCGCAGCTACAAACAAACAACCCATATTAACCTTATAACTTCTCTAGGTTTTATTTTGTTCTAAAATTGTGTCTATTGTTACAGATGGTACGGCTACGAGAGAGATCACAACATCCTAGTGATGGACCTGCTCGGTCCGTCACTAGAGGATCTATTCAACTTTTGCTCGCGCCAGTTCACTATCAAGACTGTGCTTATGCTGGCAGGTCTGTATTAAAGTATACGATTAGTACTGATTTCTTTAAGATTTTTATTTTTTAAAAGGTCTGGCAGTAACTTCTTCTAATGCTACTCCAACAAAATGTTAGGAGATATAGAAGTGACGACCGGTATATCTTCGATGTTGATCCCAAATAAAATTGAGACAAAATAATAACATTATATTTTTTGATTACCGTAACTTATTAAGTTTCTTGTGCTTTTTAGAAAGGGCCCAGCGTGAGTTTGTTTTACATCAGCTCGCTCTCAACGCCTAACGCGGTTACCGTGACGATTGAGTTGAAATGAAATTAACTTACACCAGGCCCTCAGTTCCATGTATTTAAAATTAATTTATTATTTAATTAATTATTTGTAATCGGCCAAGTGGCTAGTCATATAATATAGTAAGTAACATAATGTTCGTCTTAGACCAAATGCTGGGCCGCATGGAGTTCATCCACTGCAAGTGCTTCATCCACCGTGATATCAAGCCTGACAACTTCCTGATGGGCATCGGTCGTCACTGCAACAAGCTGTACATGATCGACTTTGGTCTTGCTAAGAAGTTCAGGGATCTCCGCACCAGGGCCCACATCTCGTATCGCGAGGACAAGAATCTTACCGGTAAGTGATAATAATACTGACATAATTTTTTTTTATTGCATAGAACTGAATCTAGAATACGCCAATTAATTAATTAGTCAAATTAGTTTCCTCTTTATTAATAAAAACAGTAGGTACGTATTACAATAACAACTTGTGACGTCACACTTTGCTGTTATCAAATGGTTTTTAATGTGTGGTTTAATAATAAAAATTGTCAATAGTTTAAATGCAAAAGAAATTATTTTTTCTCTAAGTACAGGTAGAAGGCAAAAATTTAGTACATGTAACTTAATTTCATTAGATCTGTGAAATAATAATATATTTATACCGTGTTGTGCAAAATCGATTAGTGACACAAACTGGTCAAATTATTAACGCCAATTATTCAATCCAATTCACCAAAGTTTAAGAATTTATAAAATCATCGACAGAAACTAGAGGGCTGTTAAAACTATCTCTGTATTTATGTCATCAGAGTTCCTAAAATCTTTAATCCCGACCAGCCGTGGCGATTAAAGTTTTTTTTCTTTGAAAGGTGATTTAATCACAAGTGTTCTTAGCGATATTTTTGAAGAAAATCTTTGCAAACATTTCAACAATTTCTGCTCTGTATTTCCATGCACAATTGAGCATATAGTTTAGAAATACCCTCTAACTTAAGTTATGGTACGTATTTACGAGTATATTGTATTGTTTGTGTCAGGCACCGCTCGGTACGCGTCCATAAACGCCCACCTCGGCATCGAGCAATCGCGACGGGACGACATGGAGTCTCTCGGATACGTGCTTATGTATTTCAACAGGTAAGTTTGCTTAAACACCCTATATGTGATATACAATTATCTGTATTGCCCGCATTGAAATACAAAATGATGAAAACCTTATGATATTAAACGAAAGATATTAACGATTTTATAATACTACTGCTAAGGCGAAAGTTTTGTTGTATATTAAATTATTAGTTTAAATAATATTGTTTAGGAAAACTCACGATTCTTCAAATATGCTCTGTAGGCACGAATAATAGGTTATATGAAAAGTAAAAAAATAGGTGTTAAATCGGAAGTTGCTTAACTGTATTTCAAATTGTAGGAAATCAGATTGATGCAAAAAAAATAACAATGATTTACACAATGTTTATATTAAATGTCCGCCTGCTGCTTAGCTTACAGACTGACTGAAAAATTGACATTTTTAAGTGGGCGTTATGGGCTTGAAAACATGATATATAACTAAGTTAAAAAGAAAATACTTTTGAAAAGAAAATGCCTAAGTTACCCTGTTAGTTTCAGTATTAGTCTCGCCCAAATTATAACAAATACTTACCATACTTTTAATATTTCATAGAAAATTACCCTTATAAAAATACAACCAGAACTCTACACGCGCGTGGCCCGACATCCACTTCGCGTTTTTTTTTAAAATTTAAAACATCAAACAACCCAGAGGCAAGCCGTATGTAGACAGACAGACAATAAATAAAGTTATTCGATACTCGTTTTAACAGCGAGATATATTCCGGTTTGTGGTTGACCGTTGGTTCCACTTGTGTCTTGCATGTTTCGACTTGTTGCAAATGACTCATGGGCTCCGTCACGTTTAAAATCTGACGGTGGCGTATCCTGTTAGGGCATATCGTGGTCCGTTTGACACGAATTTTGAAGAATTTAAATTTATAATAATTATAGTAGGTATGTTATAACAAAGCAAGACTGATTGACTAATTATTGAAGTAAATTCATTATTATTCGTCGGCGCTGTGGATGGCTCGGGGCCCGTCGGGGTACTATGGAATTCCTTTCTAGATCATCTGGTTCCCCGGCTATGGCTTGCGGTTTTAGTCGGTTCTAGTCTGGTTATCCGAGGGTATTTGAAAAAAAAAGGAGCGTATCAATTTAGCCGACTGACAGAGAGAACAAGCTGGTGATTCTCATCAGTGGTAGCTTACAAAAATAGAACCCTGGGTTGGGGTTGCCATGACTGATCTTTTTTTTTGTATTTTATGGCCACTAGATACCTGTATATCAACGACATAGGATTTTTGTTAAATTAGAACAAAAATCCACCACTATAGGCAGAAAATTAGATTAATAAAATTTCTTTACAAAACAAGATGGTTTTTGTTTTAAAAAATAGTAAGAAAAAAGTGAAAACCGTAGTTTCTAAGGTGATAAGTTGAATATTTAGCTGAAATTGCTACACAGCCTACGTAGACTTCCCACTAACATTCAGTTGAAATCTCGTCTAATGTGTGCTAGGTTAGGCAATTACATTGACAGATTTGACAATATGTGTCGTTTTGTTTGTGAGCAGAGGCTCGCTGCCCTGGCAGGGCTTGAAAGCCATCACCAAGAAGCAGAAGTACGAGCGGATCAGCGAGAAGAAAATGTCCACACCCGTCGAGGTCCTCTGTAAGGTAAGTTAAACAATATACTTGAAGAATATTATGTCCCATCTTGTATATCTGAAGAAGTTTTAAAATCTCACACAAAACTTTCAAGTTCTCTTATTTAAACCTCCAAGTAAGTATTATTTTCAAGACCCAAAGTAGCCTTGTTCAAGGCCTCTCTATCTCTATTCGAATACTCACTAAAATTGATTCAGCGGTATAGACGTGAAAACCTTATAGATAGGCAGATAAACAATTACTTTAGTTTGTGTTTTATTTCATTACCTGTCTATAAAACAAATATTTATTTCGGTTACTGTCTTTAAAAACAAAAATCTAGTTACTTGTACAGTTAAAAAGAATTAGAAAAACGAGACAGTAAACGAATTACCAGCACACACGATAACAATACCATTGCATAGGGAATTGGATAAGTGTATTGTGCTTAGCGATAACACGTTGCCGTCGACTGAATAGGCGTGAGCGGTAATAGATTTGAACCTGCGACCTCGCGGAGAAGGTCGCAGATTTAAATCACACCGTTTGTTTAGCTCAATTGTATGAGTGCAAGCGTAGGCACTTTTGTCATGGAGATTTTTTTTTAATAAATTCGCGGATGTACTCAGATTGCGTTTACTAAGTAACCTATTCTATTAAAATTATTTCTTTTAATCTACATTTTCGATATTCGCCACAATAAAGATAAAAATTCCCATTAAAAAACAATGTGTTTCTTCGTGTTATGTGTCTATGTTCAATTTAGATGATGTCCGGGGACTCCGTGACATTAATATAACAGTCAACGTAGTACGACGTCAATACGAATAGAAGTAGTCAAACAAAATCAAAAAATAATAGGCCAGTGTGGTATAGTAGACTAAAACCTCCTTTCTAAGGAGAGGCCTATGTCCAGCAGTAAACTGTTATAGGCTGTTGATGAAATTTTATTTAAAACTATTTTGGTTATAGCTACTTAGATTGCATGCACATTGTGGTTTTATTATTCCCGTGTCACATTTATAATACAATTTCATGCTCACAGATAGTAAAATTATGAAAACGTGTGTCTTTTCCCTGTGACGGAACAAAGTACTTGAAGGTACTAAACACTACACAACATTGTGATTCATCTTTTATTTATCAAAACGAATCTCCACATACCAACAACAGACTGATGTAAAACGTAAGTTGGGTTCAACCGGGTTCGAGGTGAAACCGACACAGCACCATCAATACCGAAGGAAGAATAAATAACAAAAGTTGTAATAAATTTAAAAATTAAGGTTTTTTTTATGTATTCGTAATATTTTAGTTATTGTGTTAGGCACTACGATTTCAAATAAAAATAGTTCTTATTAAAAAAAATATATTTGTCATTTGTAGATTGTATAAATTCAAAATCAATGACGCCAGGTTTATTTAATTAGTCCAAATTCAGCTGATGTAAAGCATTGAATTAAAAAAAACATTTTTCCCTATGAACCATATTAACTATACAGAACTTCTCGATATTTATAATGATTTGACATTAACCGAAACAATCCTACAAATATAAAATGAACCCATTTTAGCCTAGTACGTGGTTTGGTTGATTATAACGTACATTACTGTAAATTGCTACTTTTCAGAGTACAGTAATGCCAGTTGGGATTGGTCCCATTCACAGCCCCGTATCTAAGATTCTTTCGAACCAGGGCAGAAACTTAATGATAGCGACCCCTGTCTCCAGAGTTTGAGATAAATAACTTAAAAATAACTCACAAATATACAATGGCTGGCATTTTTCGTGATTGGGACATTACAATATATTGGTACTAATTCTGTTGTTCGAAAACTCTCTAAACTAAAAATTGGTTTAGTCCTGTCAAGTACTACGTTTTTAGAATACGAAACGTTGTTTGGACGGGACAATTTTTTTTTTTTGATTTTTAGTTTAGTTTAAAGAGTTTTCGAACAACAGATTTAACACCATTGGTTCTTATAAGAACCCTGTAATAAATTTGCACTCCTTAATATCTTTTACCCAATAACTTTGAGCGTGTGATGCACGCTAGACCCCCTTTGCCCCTCCGCCCCTCTAGATCCGGGGCAGCCCATTCATGTATTATATTTATCACGTATCTTGTTAATAAAAAATAATGTTTTGCGCAGGGATTCCCGGCCGAGTTTGCGATGTATTTAAATTACTGCCGCGGATTGACTTTCGACGAAGCACCAGATTATATGTATTTGAGACAGGTAAGTTTAAATCTAATTTTGAATTTAAATTTTTTATTTATATACGATACAGGGTTTTCATCTAGCATGTAACCATGCATGTTTTTTGTCCAACGAGTTTCACATTTGCATTTTCTTAAATTTAAATTGTTATTGTTTATATTACAAATATAATAAAAAATGACAACATAAAACTGTAAAAATAGTATATTTAAGTTCTAAGACTAAACAGACAATAAAATAAAAAGTTTTTAAGTCTTGGAGTGACAAAAGGACCTTGTTACTAAAAGCTCGGGATGACATGCTTCAGACCGCCATAATAATCATGATTAGGTATCTAATGCCTCTATTTTACTTTTGATTAGTTAGTTTTTAAAATGTTATCGTTTTGAATGACGGTGTTAGTTTTTATTGCTGCAATTAATAGAAAAATGTATGAAAGTAATTACATGTGTGTGTTAACGTCCTGCAGCTGTTCCGCATCCTGTTCCGCACAATGAACTACCAGTACGACTACACGTTCGACTGGACGATCCTGCGGCAGCGCAAGCAACACATGGAGTCGGGCGCCGCCGCCGCCGACCGCCGCTCGCCCTCCGTGCAGCGCCGCGCGGCGCAGCAGCCCTCGCAGCCCCCGCCTAACAACGAGGTAACTTGCACCACGCTCTAGTCTTTCTCTTTCTACACTATACACCCCACACACTCCGCACGTCCCTCACATTCTTCACGTCCCTCAAACTCTGCACGTTCCACACATTCCGCACATCCCCACACACTCCGCACATCCCACACACTCCGCTCATCTCACACACTCCGCTTATCTCACACACTCCGCTCATCTCACACACTCCGCACGCCCCAAACCCGATACCCCACACTCGACACCTCACACTCGACACCTCACACTCGACACCTCACACTCAACACCTCACACTCGACACCCAACACCTTACACCCGACCCTGGACAACCCACACCCTTTCCTTTTTTTTTATACCCTTTCACGCTACTCGACCCATTACAATTCCATTACCGTTACAGTTAAAGTTCGTTGCTAAGTACTTAATTTCCTATGTCCAGTGGATAGGGCAGAGGCCGTTAACTCCATTGCGATTGGTCGATAGTATGTTGCAGCATGTTTAAACTCGTCAGATTAAATAAACAAAAAGTTTTTATTTGTGAGACAATAAAGGATTATTCTCACACTTTCTACAATTACCGTCACAATGTTTCTACTGAAAATCACTTAAAGTTAAAACGCGCTTTCGAATCCTTTTGTTGTATTTGTTAAGACAATCACAAACATAAAAAAAAAAATGAGAAATTAACCTCGTCTTGACCTCATAACGTAAAGTATGTCGTTTAGAAATATTACGAGATCTTTTAAAGCACTCTCCGTTCTTTCATTAGTTCTCCCTCTTTGTCACAATACAAGAACAACCCATATTCCCTCTACACTTTCCTTCAAATCCTTGATCTCTCCCTTTCCTCGTCTCGTAGGTAAAATCGGTGCATGCGACAAATGAGACTGGAACTAACAAGCAACCGGTGAAAGGCCACCAGTCTGTCAGTCAACTGAAGAAGAAACTTACGGCGATGTCATAAAGAACACCTTTCCAATTTTATAAATTGTAGCTCTAACGATGTGTTTGTTGAATATGCACTTTATTGTAAATAAACATAGGAACTATATTGTAAGTTAAAAATTACCACGCAGATGTAAGTTATTTGGCACAAAATATTTACATTTGTTTCGATGAATACATGTTACGTTCAAAAAACTGAAATTACTACATAACTTGGTCTGAGTGTTATTCCCTTTTCTCGTTTTCTGTGTGTGTTCCGTTTGACCCTGAATGTGACAAGAAACAATTCTTTCGATTTCTAATGGTTTTTTTTCTAAACATACAATAATCTATACATTTCTGAAATATTTCTATAACAGGTTTAAAATGAATTCACGAAAATAGTTTTTGTTGGGAATGGTATCGAGTATCCAAAGTTTGCCATTTTTTTAACTCATAAGCTTTTATTGTTTAATCAAGTCACAGCACGGCTACCATTACAACTCTAGTCTACCTACGTCCTACTACTTCCTTTATGTTTAGAGCTATGTCCAGTCTTCAACTGATCTTAGGACCCCCTAGTTTGGCTAGTGTAAGTGATGTATAAAATTATATGTAGTCTGCGTTTGGTTTAACTTTTCCTAAGTTAATTTGTTTCCTACAGTTTCTTTCTTTGTTTTTGTGCAGAGTATGTATAAATAACTAGTCAAATGCCGCCTTTTGAAAATTTGCGTCACATCTTGTAAGAATACATAAATTGAAAGTGCTATTTAATCAATTTATATTATTTTGTTATTGATCATCATTATCATCTTGACCACTATCAGAATTTTTGCGGAAAAACAAAAGTGTGTCTTAGGTATATCGGGGTTGCTGGTTTGCATTTTGTATGTAAAAATACAAAGCCATAACTGTTTATGAGTGTGTCACCTGACCCTCTTTACAATTGATAAACTTGTACCTAAACATCGTAAATTGCGCAGCATTTCATTGACTGACTGTTTGCGCATGACTCATCTTGTGGTCACGTACACATCTACAAGTGTGACAAGAAATTCGAGTTCTAACTTTATAGATATATAAAGTGCATATTCAGATGACACGTTCCATAAATTCTCTGTACTTATTGTTATAATCAAAATAATTGTTTCAGTTTGACTCGTTTACTTTTTACAATGCTATATAGACGGAACTTGACGAGTGGGTTAGGAGATTATAAGGAATTCCAAATTGTTTGGTTACTGGCTCACGATAACCTCTAGACTCACTCGCGGCTTGTGGTAGTTGTAGCTAATATTTTCGGTAATTTGTATCCCTAAAAGATACTTTTAACTTTTTATTTTATTGAAAGATTTGCGTACAACCGTGGTTGAATGTGGTGTGTATGTGTGTGTGAGTTTTGTTCACTGTAAATTTTTACTTTATAAGGTTTAAAAAGATTATTGATAGTATATCAAATACACTTACGACTGTGTACAGTGGCCGGCATGTTTTGACCTAATTCTTTTTTTATTAAAAGTTTTTCGTTACAATCATAGTAAAGTCAACGGTCCACATCAATTATGGCACTTGTTTATTTTTATAGTCTTAATTCTTCAAAAAATTGTATAAATTTAAAATAAGTGTTGCCAACACTAAAAATACTGTCATGTGTGACAATGTTCGAGCATAGAATGACAGGTTACAATGTGAATTTTGTATAATTTTAATAAAAAACCTTCGAGTATGATTATTTATTTCTAAACAATGAAATGAATTTCGATCTGCAATGAAAACAAGATTTTTGTGGTAATTTCAAATAATATAATTCATTATTAAATAGTTATAGAGATCCTCTTCATTTAGCTTTGAGTTTGTTAGTTTGAATTTCACATAGGCTAGAAAAGTGTAATACAAACAACTTTGCCTCTTTGAAGTTAGTGTTTACCAGACCTAATAAATACTTATGTACATGAAGGGCACGGGGGCTTTGGTTTCAGTAGTATTATGAAAGACAACTAACTTCAAGGTGGACTTTTCGTACTAAAAATATGAGTCCATTATATATAGGAGGAATAACTAGAGGTCATATATGCGTGTATAATCACTCACACCAGTAAATAAAATAAACGTATTTACATATTTCACGTATTTATAAGTACTTTTAGCTACATTGTGTCACTTTGTGATGTAATTTCTTAATACTTATATTGCCTTTTTCTTCCACAGTGAAAGAGATTACGACGTTCGGCAGCCACGGGTGGTCCGGCGAAGAAGAGAGCGCGATAGCATATGTGTGTGAATGTGTCGTGTGCGTGTGTATGTGTGTGCAAGGGCCGCGTCACCGATGACGTCACGCGTGACGTGCGAGCGGTGACGTGCGGCAGTGCGGAGCTCTCGACGGGCGCCGAACGCGTCGATCACAACGGACTAGCTTTCTTTGGAGTATATAGAGGCGTTTGTTTTATTACTATAAAGAACCAACGGCGTACGCTCATGGTACACATGATCTTTCTGTGTGGCAACAGATTATTTTTTTTGTACTGTATAATATTAACTGTAAAATACATTACAGATGTTCATACAATTTACACTAAGAAAAAAAAACATTAATTCAGTTTGTAGTTAAGTAACTCGATGATTGTTTAGTTTGATGTTAGTTTTTCTAATTAGCTAGTGTTCACGATTTATTGTCGGTCGGTCGTACCACGTAACCGTGACTCTGTACATATCTGAGCTGAGTTTGGAGTGCGACCGACGAATGCGATAACAGAATTTTGGCTAGATATATTCATTAAAATTTGCAGATTTCTAATGAATAAAGTAGTCTATAACAAAAGTGAAAAAATGTGAAAAGTAAAAAAAAAAACGAAACAAATGTGGTAGAAACTAAGTGAATTGGTCCATGCCCTTTGGGACGCGTCACGTATCGAGTAACAGACATAGATTTAAGATTATTTTAACTGATTCTTTTAATTTGGCATATTTCACTTATAAATTGTACATAAAGAGTGATCGTGGCGCGTCCTGAAGGACATCGATACGGCGGTATCTTGAAGAATATAAAATTGTAAATATATAAGCTAGTAAACTTGTTTTAATCACTACATATTTTTTTAAGAAAGCACTAATTGAGTTTTTGTGGCGTATTATGACACTTCATGGTCTGAAACGAACGTTTCGAAAGTTGGAATTTTTTTATCGCACATTCATACAATAAAATTGTATAGGACGGGAATTGTACTTGGAAAATTTCATATAAATATAAACCTATCAATACATACAAAAACACACAATCCCGCACCTTCTAATGCTGGGATGAATGAAACACCCATAATTTCACGCATGTAATGTAAAAGGAGGCAAGCCTATTGTTATGAACTCTCAACTAGGCGCTTTGGGAGTTTGGGCAATTTTGAAGTATTGCAAGGAAACTAGGTAAGAAAGCAAGACAGTGCAAGGAAAGGCATATTGGATAAACGGATGTATTAGGGAGTGGAAACAAGTGTCCGAGCAAATCTAGGGTTGCCGTGAAGATCGGGTCTTCTATAAACAAAAGAATAAGCTACACTGCCTTTGAAATATCTATAATTGAACATAAAGGAACTAAGGGAGCAAACTAAGCAGGACAACAGCACTGCAAAGAGAAGGAAAACTTGAAACAAACCCTATACCAACCCGTCTGGCCAGCGTGGTATAGTAGGCCAAAACCTCCTTTCTAAGGAGAGGCCTATGTCCAGCAGTTGACTAGTATAGGCTGTTGATGTGATGTGAACATAAAGATGGTATATTAAAAGCTCGAATTCTACTAGACAGTGAACACGGAAAAACACTTAGAAATTTACCAGTAGTCAATAGCTGTCAGCATCTGGTTGGTTGTGATTTCTTGGGCAAAGTAGTTGTACTACAAGCTACCAAAAATAAGGTTATTTTGAACTTTAGAGTGTACTGACTATATTTGACTAATTTAAACCTAAAATTGTGTTAAATTTAGTACAGAAATATAGTTAGTTTATAAGATCAGAATTAAAACTTGATTACTCTTCAGCGTCCTGGAGCAATGTGCACTGATGATGTGAAGAGGTACAGCTTGTATGTAATTTCTGAAGCTACTAATCCTAATAAGAAGCCATATTACTACCACGTACTAAAGCTATTTTCTGATAACTAGAGAGTTCACAGACAACTGTTTACCTGTATCGAAACCCCCCACATCCACAGTACTAAGTGCAGTTGTACCAAATGACGTTAATGACAGAAATAAGAGGTTAACACGTACCGTAGGAAGATTAGGGTACGTTACATCGCTTTTGCTTTTTCTATACTCGAAAGGACAGCGTGACGAGATGAGAGTTTATTCGTAAATTGTAATTATTCGATAATTGACCAAGCACTGACTGGTTACTTTCAAAAATAAGTCAAATTGTGAGAGTCGTATTGATTCTTTGCTTTGTAGAAAGGTACCTATTTAGTTAACTTTTGACATATTTTCTGATTAAAAAAATATATTGATTGGTGACTGAACTGGCAAAATCTTTTATATTGTTAGATTTGAGTATGCGGTTATTTGGTGCAACTAAACTAGTAATTCGCTTTTAGAGTCGAGAGAGAGATATCCGTTTCTTCAATTCTGTGTCTTAATTTTGAGACTAAGATTTGAGCTGTGATCGGAGTAAGTTTCATTTGAGGCCTATGCGCCTCAGTTTTTCAAATGAAATAGATTCCGATTACCATTCAACTTGAAAAATGAAAAACAATTGCCTTGGCACATTTAATGTAGTCTGGGAGTAAAAACTGACCGTTGAAATTTTTCTAAAAAAAAAAGCATTTCCTGTGATTTCGTAAATTGAACGCTAGAAATGTCATAATACATCATTTTAAATTAAAGATATAACTTTTTAAGTTTCCGAAATGATTAGTGCGAACGGCGTATGAACGAACAAATGGAGACAAAATAAAATTTCTGTACAAAGTTTATGTACTAGTGTTCAGTTTATTATATATTTATTTATATGACCACTATGAGTGATATCATGGATCTCATTTGTTGCAAAAATTCAGTTTTACATTGGGACTTGCTAGTATTTCCAGAACAGCCACTTTGTCTCCACTTGTATGTATACTCAGTGTTTCTACACTATATAAATTAATAAACAGTAATAAACTAATATTTTGTCGTTTAATTTTGGTTCTTAATAACTTTTTGTCGGACTCTTCCTTGACTCCTCCCATCCACTTTGACTTATTACAATTTTTTTTTAAATTATTGTTTTAATTTCTCTATCCAGTACGACGTGATTACCTGTAGGGCTACCAGAATCATGGGTGTGCGTTACCCCAGCAAAATAATGTCGAAAATGGTAATTTAAACGTTATAGATAATTAGTTGCTCCCCTTCTGTAATTGTTAGGCACATTTTTGACACCAGGGCCTTCCTTTCTAGGGTATACCTGGTTCCCCGGCTATTAGTACCCGGCGAAGGCGTGCGGTTTTAGTCGGTTCGAGTCCGACATGCCACCGACAGGTGGTATCCGAGGGGATTCGCGCACGGAAAAAAAAAATAAAAAGAAAAAAGCACATTTTTGAATTTGTTTCACTTAAACTTTTTGACTGACTTGAATGCATCAAAATATTTAAAGCAACAAGTCATCTACAATAAGTTAAAATAGACCATAATAGTAGAAGAATAGCGAATAGAAGAATAAGAGTAGCAATAGAATAACGTTTGAAGTAAGTCTTTACAGGTCTTATTCAAAGTGTTAAGACGTATTGAAGGTGTGCGTTACCCCAGCAAAATAATGTCGAAAATGGTCATTTAAACTTTATAGATAATTAGTTGCTCCCCTTCTGTAATTGTTAAGCACATTTTTAAATTTGTTTCACTTAAACTTTTTTAGTTATTTCAAAAAAACATTTCCTGCTGGGGTAACGTTTGAAACGTTACCGCAGCCAGACATTTTCTTTTTTAATTGTAATATTGAAATAAATGTTAGCTAAATAATTAGTTATCTGGACTAGGTAAATGTTACTTATTTGGTATTTGTATTTTCTTCGGCTGCGAAGTTATTCGAGATCCTGCTGGAGTAACGTTTGTGGGTTTGCTGGATCTCTGAAACGGGTAAGCGCATTGTAACCATCTTTTGTACATAACATCTTAAGGATTAGTTTTAATTTTTTCGACAATAAAATAAAAAAAATAATGGACCGTTTAAAAATTATTTAGGTAAGTATGAAAACACTTCAATACGTGTGCGTTACCCCAGCAAAATAATGTCGAAAATGGTCATTTAAACTTTATAGATAATTAGTTGCTCCCCTTCTGTAATTGTTAGGCACATTTTTAAATTTGTTTCACTTAAACTTTTTTAGTTATTTCAAAAAAAACATTTCCTGCTGGGGTAACGTTTGAAACGTTACCGCAGCCAGACATTTTCTTTTTTAATTGTAATATTGAAATAAATTTTAGCTAGATAATTAGTTATCTGGACTAGGTAAATGTTACAACTTATTTGGTATTTGTATTTTCTTCGGCTGCGAAGTTATTCGAAATCCTGCTGGAGTAACGTTTGTGGGTTTGCTGGATCTCTGAAACGGGTAAGCGGATTGTAACCATCTTTTGTACATAACTTCTTAAGGATTAGTTTTAATTTGTTCGACAATAAAATAACAAAAATAATGGACCGTTTAAAAATTATTTAGGTAAGTATGAAAACACTTCAATACGTCCTAACACTTTAAATAAGACCTCTAAAGACTTACTTGAAACGTTATTCTATTGCTTGTAACTACCTTCAAATGTATACGAATTTTCGTAAGAATACTGTAAGTTACTAAAAAGTTATGATGAAATGTAGCTCTCCACGTTCACGATCACGATGTGTGCGGCCTTTTTTGGCCACCGATAAACCTGTGTGTGGATATATAAACTGAATGTTATGCCAATAATTAGTTGTTTAGTTCAGTTGTCTACCTGTAGAATTTCAGCGTCGTACATATAATAATTTACGAGATAATTAAATAAAAGTCATTAGAAGGTGCAAGTCCGTGGTAATCCGACCATGTTTAGGTGGTTACAAAAAAGCGATCACCCAGTACATTGCGCTGTCTTTTGAAATGTTTAGTGTAATACACCTTACGATTTCGGTACAGTTGCGTACAGTGTTAAATTCATTCAATATTTATTCTTTATTATTACCTATTATTTATTTTGTTTTTTTCCCTAATTGATCTTA